CCAAGGAAAATATACTTGTCGAGGCGTTCATATCCGACCTTCGTGACCGCGATTTCTAGGCGTAATAGGCACGATGATGTAACCATACTATGGTATTGAGTAATATATTTACTAAAGAGATAACGTGCTGGTCTGGAGCGGTCTTCGTGCCGCAAGAAGACACCCCAATAGTTATAAGTGAGCTGGTTTCATCATTTCTGATGGTTGCTTGAATATCTTAAATGTGAGAAACATCCTTTAAAGACTTATCATTTTAGGTGTTCAACAAGAAGCATGCACAGTGTCAATCATTGACTCGCACCCGAATCTGACCCAGCGCCTTCCACTGACTACGTGACATTGACATGCTCACTTTTTATTCGTCCTCACTGTGTGGCATGGGAGGAGATAGTTAAGCTCATATGTATAGTTCGTGGTTGGTTGCACCACATTTTTACATTCGTCCGTGATGTTAAAACCAGGATTGACCATGGACATAACATTTCATTGGTCACTGTTGCAACACAACTACACAGTTTCGATTAAATTCATCCATACGTAATAACCATTTTCGATCAACTCAACGTGTTTCAATTCGTAATTTCATTCCTTTTTTCGTACATCAGGGACACAATTACACACAGCAAACACAGAGGCAAGAGTCAGTTGTAATCACTTATTGGTAAGTGATGTGTTTTGAATTATGGGTCGACGCTCAAAGTTTTTAAAAAGAATTAATTCAACTTAGATGAAAGTAAATCGAGTGTCAGTCTGTGTCTCATTACTTCGAGCAAAGTCGTACATGGCGTAGCGTGACAAAAACTTACTACATCACACTCTAAGCAAACGGAATGTTTTTCAGACCTACTAAGAAGCAAAATTGGTAACAATGTTACGAAACGATTGAGACCAGGTGCTAACTAATACGCATCAAAAATTTAGTCCAACTATTGTTCTCGTAGTGCTTCAGTATAACAATACGCATCGGATATATAAGGGAATGTTTCACAGTTGAAGATGATAACCAGGTATCAGATATGATAAAATCAGTTCACTTATAACTATTTCTATGCTTTTTAGGTGGGGCTGCTCTCGACAGCATAATTCCCCGTTCAGTAAATATGCTCCTCAGTGCGTCATGCATTTATTACGCCATCGTATCTCGAACAATACTGATAAAGAGCCAATTGAAGCCATCATATCTGAAAATCGCGCTCACAAACGCCAGATATGAACGCATCGACAGCCAATTTTTTCTTCATCCTGATTACCGCATGACTTATGAAATCGGAAGACTTGTATAACGGTATTATGACGTTATTATGACGTTATGCATGCCGAGGCCACTTTAGAATGTTCTCCGTGATATACCTTTCCCCAACATCGGGGGCATGTGCTCAGAAACTAGAAGGGGTTAGACTTTCAGAAGGGCGGGGTTGCGAACAGTACCGAAAGGTCTTAAAGATGGCTATTTTAAGTTTAAAACTCCATGTAAATGTTGAATGCTCCTTTTTACCTTCCAGCCATCGTCAGATACTTGAGAGTCTTCAGGACTGGACGATGGTTGACCATCCGTAAGGTATAGGTCACAGCTCGACGTAGTTTTTGGGCACGGAAATTTCTTCATCTGATTCGAAAGCAAAATATTATTAACTCCATGTGAGAAGTTGGCCGTGACTCGTAATGGCTTACAGCCAAGCATCATCCAGTTTTACTCAGGACTCCATAACACCGGACGACAGCCGGAGAGTCAAGTGGTCGGAACGTTGTGTGCGTACTACTGCACCAGAAGGGGATAACAGTTCAAAATATTCTCCCAACTGAAAAAACCCTCAAAATCAAGTCCCCCGCACGATTCATAGTACGGCACAAGCATCATCAAATAGTTCTGAAATCCTACCTCAGGTGAGGGCGCACAATTAATACTTAAACTGTGATTCACAAAGCCATGTGACCTTTCCATCCTCGGAGTTTTCATAATACAGATCGTAATCTCATGATAAATAACCATTTTTGACCATAGGTGACATACTGTGAGGCCAACATCACCTGACGTGTGATGCAGATAAATGATGCAACACGCAGACACATCACCATGCGGACGTCATCACACACTATCAGTCCGTGTGGTGCGAATGACGTCTAACGTGCGATGCTAACGACTGCAATAGTGTCATTTTGATAGAAAACAGGCAACCAAGTATAACATGACAGCATCAACCAATTTTTCACAGCAGATCCTTCTGGTCCCATTAAACATGCTACAGGACATAGCTCGCCGGCGTCATTTGTTTCAGAGTCATGCCGCACAAAACAATGGGAGGCATGCACGAACTCGTGATGAGCTATGCGGGTACATGCGACACATTTGCATCATGTGAGGGGTTTTGATATGCTAAAAGCCTTGAAAATCTAACCGCAGCATTTGCAATACAAACCGTTACTCAAGCCAACTTATTCAGTTTTTTGACGGTGAAATAACAACAATCAGATATCACAATGCAATGTAACACAAAATGTGAGAAATACTCAACATACAACAGCATACGGGCAACGCCACGTTTCTGTCTCGTGACTCCACCCTCCCTCGTAACCAAGGTCACGGCAGTGGTCTGCTATAAAACCGCGTCACTCGCCGTTCACGGCATCAGTCGACGAGACGGAGTACGCAGACATGAAGGTCAGTAATCCCTCTCGTTCACTGTAGATTGTAGGTATGCGTGGAATGAACTAGAAACTCTCATTTGAAAGGCAGTGGCATGGTACAAGTGTACTCCTGGCGAAAACCTTCAAGTAAAATATGAATGAAAAAAGGAAAGAAGTAACCTATTGTAATTTGTTTCCTGCAGGTATTCATCGCCGCCGCCCTCCTGGCCGTTGCCGCCGCCGCTCCTGCCAACAGCTACGCCCCGCAGCCGGCGTACTCTCATGGCCCGAGCTACCACCAGTCGTCCTACAAGGAGCCGGACCACTACGACACGCCCTACCAGTTTGATTACGCTGTCAACGACCACTACTCTGGTGCCGTCTTCTCCCAGAACGAGAACAGCGACGCCAAGAATGTCAACGGCTACTACTCGGTCAACCTGCCCGACGGCCGTACCCAGCACGTCAAGTACGTCGCTGACCACGACGGCTACGGAGGCTACAACGCTGAGGTGACCTACACTGGCGAGCCCCACTACGAGGAGCACAAGCCCAGCTACCACCCGGCCCCGGCCTACAAACCCGCTCGCTCTTATGCCCCGGCCCCGGCCTACAAGCCTCCTCGCTCGTATGCCCCTGCCCCGGCGTACAAGCCTGCTCGCTCTTATGCCCCTGCGCCGGCCTACAAGACCAAGTACTAAACACCTAGTGCTTTCTGATGTGTGAGAACCTATTTATAATATGCAGCGAAATTTCTCTCATGGAGTATTATATCAAGTGTTGTGATGATAAAAGCAATACATTGGTGCACAAGAGAACGGACGTTTTCGTGACTACAAAAGTAGAGAGATCGACCGAATCCCAACGGAAATGCAGATGATCCGGAGACCCCGGCCCATCCACCGCGGCAGAGACACATGTTAATACCGTCATTAGTGACTGAAACGTTTAAGGCTGTGGCACTCCCAGATAATAAGTTTGGAACATGGAACAAACTTGCAGCGTAACCACAGGGGAAAGAAATTGCCATTGCTACTCTCATCATGCATCTATCAGTAGGAGTAATCAGTTATTATTATCACATTAAAGCATGCATCAGATACGATGATATATGCTCAGTTATACTTGTTGGTATAATTTCAAGCCGAAAAGATAGCACTAGACAGCATAGTTTCTCTGCTGAGTCAATACGCTCCTGTATAAGCGGTCGTTGTATGTCCTCGTGCCTTGCACAACATCGATTGAGAGCCAATAAACAGCCGTTGCATTTGGAAATCGTACTAACGAACGCAAAATATGAGCGACTCGACGGTTCTATTTTTCTTGGCCTGCGTCAAAGAGAATCGACTCTTGGATTGTTTAAATGAATGTGCTGCATTTCATGACCATCGTGGCTTCCAGAAAAAAAACAGAAGCACATATATGCTCTTCACGCTTAAAGGGAATATCCCACGTTTGAAGAGATTTAGGCAATCATTAGATATGATGAAAGAGGCTCACGTATGAGTGTTGAGATAGTTCTAAGTCGAAAACCCCGTTCTAAACAACACAGTTTTGCTTTTTAGTAAATATCCCCTATTATGCGTCATTGTTTCATTACGTCATCGTGCTTTTAAAGTGTGCCATCTGAGTATTTTACGAGATTTATAGCCAAAAATGTGTAGCTGGTGTACATTAAAGAAGGGAATCAATATTACCAACACCAAAAGCTGTTTTGGATCAAAGCGTCCTTCGATAGCATGTTCGGGTTCATTTGAAGCTTTGGTGATATGCTCTTCCTTAAGGGATGTACTCCACATTTGCATAGGGATTTGAACTGAAACAGTCGTGTTGAGTTTTGTTCGGCTCAGTTCAAAGCCCTGCCCTTCTTAAGACCTAAAACAGTTTAGTTTCGGAGCTAAACGCCAACGAAAATGTGCAGATTATTTCGGGGAGGCTATTTCAAGGTCACCCAGCAATCCATGACATTATGAAAGTTCATTGAAATCCTATCATTCTAATGGCTATGCGGTGAGCAGTGCCTATAAAAATATAATTGCCTAGTCGCTCATATCTGGCGTCCGTGAGTACGACATCCAGATATGACCGCCGTCACTAAGCTCCCAATCAGTGTTGTGCAAAGTACGACGACGTAATCAAACAATGTGCATGCATATAATACTCCCCTAATACCCCTCAAAATGCACCCATGGTATTCATACAGGACAATGCAGAGTATACGTTATCAGCTAACGGAGAAGCTGGTATGGTGATTCCCCGAAGCTCTTTCTAGAGCGCAGTTCCTATAAATCTGCACGTAAATGATCTACCATCACTTACCTCTAATATGACGTCTCTATTAAATCAGTGTCCAAGAATTGTCTACCTAAGGTGAAAAGCAACGCCTTATGAGGAGTAATTTTTTACTCCTTTTCCCCATAATTTGTGAATTTTCCACTTGTACCTGATGTTGTTAACCGTGCATATCAAACCCTTATTTCCTTTTCCGAGGCCTTAAGATGTCATCCAAAACCAACCTCACTTGAAACAATCAAGCATCAACAAGATTCCAAAGAACGTCGACACCTATGGCTGTATCCGGCCTCGTCTACATCTAAATCTTGTCTATGTATAAAAAGGGTAAGGGCACGAGGCACCTTCAAGCCCGAGAGCCCAAGCGACTCCAGCCGCTTGCATGCATCAAGTTTGGTTTGTTTACAAAATGCATCACAAGTTACAGCCGTGTGCCGAACGCATGACTTTCACGCATCCGAATTTTTTTCGTCGCACCACGAGAGAACTACACCACCAAAACAACGCCCGATACAAACACCTGCATGGCCTGGTAGGGAACTTAACTCCACATTTTTATTTTACCTAAAAAACCTTGACCACTTGACTGCACCACCCCCCACATGCAGGAGTGAAAGTTCTCCTCAAAATGTTCCAACTGCAAAGTGGTACTTATTTCATACATCAACTGGATCAATTCGCCAACCGCCCAAACATCCTTGATATGCTCCCAAGAGTGAACAATTCATAGACGATGAATGAGATAATTTAAAGCGGAGAACATAATTGCAGCATAATTTTTGCCCAGTTTAACTCTCAGTTAGCCGCGTTTTTGTTTAATGGCGGGGCCCAAAAGTGATAAATTTAAGCCATTCAGGCTCACTATCCGTCACGGTACATTATCCTAGCGTGCATGGCTTTGGGACAGATCTGGCGGAGCTCATACAGAAGTGTTTGGTAGCGAAATTCTGTATTATCATGCAGACCTGCTCTTACTTTTGCGTTTTATTCTCATAGGTTGGTGGGCATGATTGATATTTATGTTGTATGGGTGAGTTGAATGACCCTGTCTGCCACCAAACCATCCAAAAGACTATTTGTGTGGGGAGCGGAAAGAAGCGTGCCCTTAAAAAGTCAAGAAAGTTCTCCGATGGAGCAACTCATTGCTAACACTGCTTGCTTTCAACACATCATTTGTAACCAGACTTAGTCATTGTTTATTTTAATCCATCAAGTTTTCTTCATCAGATAATTATGTTAAAACAAAGCAGGTAACTGAGCTATTTTGTTCCATACTTTCAATTATTTGCCTCATATTCGTTGAAGTGATTGCATTGGCAAGTGATTGCATCGTCTTAATTGCATGGCAAGTGGCAGGAAAAATGTTGCAAGAATTAGTGATTCACGAATGCTGCTGCGAACCAAATAGGTTAGACGGGGTGAGTTGAGGTAAGGCTTCTTTAGGTTAGGCTTTGTCACGCTACTTTCGTGGACATACGTATTGGTATTTTGCAAGAAACAGTAACATAATAATTGTGTATCCCGACCTCATCTTAACAGAAGCCAGAGGTATGCCTGATGTGTTTCATTTGAGGTGCTGATGTGCAGGGGTCAAAATATTATTTGTTTGAATACTTTATTCTTGTTGAAGTCTTTGTTGTTGTTTTTGTTGATCAATTTATTTGTTTTATTCTATGTTGAAATATCCTGTGAAAGGCAAGTGCAAAGTGCAGCATCAAAACACTGGTCCTATATGGTTTTTGATGACCACAACACTGCTGGGAAATGGCTATTCTTTAATGTATTCTGTTTCACTTTAATGACCTAAGATGTTAAAAACAGAAACGGTTTTGTTATGTTTATGAGATACCGTCCATGCCACCTTGAAATGCATGTCTTTGTTTTCTGGAGCATATCTTACTGACTAAAAAGTTCCAACTTTTGTGACGTGAATTTCTCACTCCCACACGGTCTTTTTTGCGATGGAATTTTTCATTCGTACGCTGCTTCAACGATTCTAGCTCACAGCATTACATGCGAAGACACTACTATCATATCAAAACACAAGAATATAAATGGCCCGCAGAAACAAGTAAACTCACCTTTCAGAGTCATCAAGGAATGATTGGAAGGGTCGCAACGGTCGGAATTGAAAGAACAACCAAAATTGTTGCGATAGGCTCACCCAAGAGGACAAACACCGAGGGCTAAAACCAAGGCGGTGAAAAAGAGCTTAAGAAATTCGTGCAGCATCACTCTGCGGTAACTTGAAGACTCAAAGTGAAAGTCTCCGCAGGAAAAATCTGATCTTAAGCAATCCAATAAGTGATGGAAACATGAGACGACAAAACATATTTGGCAAAGAACGTCTCAGTTCGATGACAACGAATGCAGTGACGTTACTTTCATGTAACCTAGCCAACAAACATGAGCACGACCACATAACCCCTAATGCGCAAAATTTCCTTCTGCTTACCGCTTCGAGATGTTAAAAGTTTTAGTTGGTTAGTGTCATTAGATTTAAAAGTTTTGCCCATATAACAGTGGGATTAATGGAGTAATTCGTGGTGAGTTATACTGGTATACGAAAAACATGTCTGCCATATCAAACATTCTGAATGGAAAATATTGAACTATTGTACAACCAATTGACTATCACTTCAAGAAGTGCAATACAAGGTTTAACCCAAAAGCGGTGACTTTTGCTGTACTGTGCGGCATCAAGAAATAAAAAAAAACCACCGCAAACTGGTGTAAAACATGAAGTGGGAACTCCCACATTTACATCTAAATACGAAGAACACCACATATTCGGTCATGAGACCCCGCCCTGCCTCGTTAGCAAGGTTATGATGGGGGTCTACTATAAAACCGCGCCACTCCCCGTTCACAGCATCAGTCGACACGACCAACTCTGCAGACATGAAGATCATTGGCCTTTCGTTCACTGCGTTTTCAAAAACGGCCGAAATTGAATAGCAGCTCTCATTTAGTACGCAGTGTCATAAATATCTACCATTCCAACGCTCGGCAGTTCATGACATTGTGAAGCTAAGCGCTACCATCCGGGGGAATGCGAATAAGAGAAAGGAAATCCGTAATCTATCGTAATTTGTATTCTTGCAGGTGCTCGTTGCCGCCGCTTTCCTGGCCGTTGCCGCCGCCGCTTCCTCCAACAGCTACGCCCCGATGCAGGCGTACTCTTATGGCCCGAGCTACCACCAGCCGTCCTACAAGGAGCCGGACCACTACGACACGCCCGACCAGTTTGATTACGCTGTACACGACCACTACTCCGGTGCCGTCTTCTCTCAGAACGAGAACAGCGACACCAAAAATGTCAACGGCTACTACTCGGTCAACCTGCCCGACGGCCGTACCCAGCACGTCAAGTACTTCGCTGACCACGACGGCTACGGAGGCTACAACGCCGAGGTGACCTACTCTGGAGAGCCCCACTACGAGGAGCACAAGCCTAGCTACCACCCGGCCCCGGCCTACACGCCTACTCTCTCTTATGCCCCTGCGCCACTCTACAAGACCAAATACTAGACACATTGTCCTTTCTGTTGCGTGTGATCACCTATTTAAAACGTGAGGCGAATTCGTTCTGGTGGAGTTTTGTATCATGTGCTGTGTTGATCAAAGCAATACATTGGTGCACAGAAAACGGACGCATTCCTCACTCCAAAAGTGGAACAATCGACCGAATTCCCACGAAAATCCTGTTGACAGGAGTTTCTCACTTTTTCACTTACAACTGCGCAGTAGAAGTTTTATGCGAGGCTCAACAGTGCTGTATACGACGATAGATGTCTTGGTGTGAAAAGTGGATCACAAAAATATATGACGAGCAGTCACAAACTTGTGTTTTGATAACCAGTACCTTCTCTGCCCACCTACACACAGCGGCGGTAAGTTCATTTGCACCACGGAGCGCCTAAACGACAACCCACATTCATTTTAATCTTCACCTTTTCATTGTCAAATCCATTTCAAGACCACTTCAAGGTCACCCAGACATCAATGGCGCCGCCGTAACGTCATTCAAGTTCGGCCATTCCATCAGTCATGCGGCGATCATGACCAAGAAGAATATTAGTCTCGAGTCGTTTATATCTTACGTTTGTGATCACAATTTCCAGATATATCGGCCGCCAATGGGCTCCCAATCAACGCAGCGCAATGTACAATTATGCAACTAAACCATGGCGTATTGAGGGGCATACTCACGCAACAGAGAAATTGCGTTGTCTAGAGCTGTCTTTTACACTTAAAATGATACCAACAGTTATAAGTGAGCCTATTCCATCGTATCTGATGCATGCTGCAATGTTTTGAAGCGTGGAACAATCCGATTACAGAAGGGAAGAATTGGTGTTATTTCCCGAGGCTCTGTTGCAGCGGTCTTCAGGCTTAGTCTATACTGCATGTTATCTCGGTCGATTCTCGATGCAGATGCGTCGCCTTAACTGAAATTATCATTATATGGCACCTAGAGTCAGATGAGGATGGCAGATGTGTTCATGAATGTCTGGAGCATTTTCTGATGCGACTGTTGCGAGGGTAGTGCACTTGGTTTACCGGATTAATGCCATATCAGGAAGTGACCTGCGCCAACGATACCCAAACGCCTCCCATGCATCTTGAAAAACCTCATCTACGGAGACCTGCATATACCAATGTACAAAGTTTTTCAATCTCCTGAGACTGATATAACACAAACTGGAACAATAGCATGTGTGTGAAATCATACCCATCGGACCCTGGTGCCTGTTAGACCGGCAGACTCCTACGTCAAAACAGGTGAACCTCTCAGCAGCGGATATCTCCGAATGAATCCTTGGCATGTGCTTTAATGTCTTCAGCTGAACTCTGAAGCTCCTTTTTTCCACCCCTGTCACTGCGGTGACGGGTACTTGGTATCTGGGTATGGTTTACGCCGGTGTTGCGCAGGGTGTTTGATGTCAGTAAACGAAACTCATCTGATAATTATTTTTTAGCTGCAGCCAAACTACACGTAATGGAACACATTTTGATCAAACGCCCTGCCAATTGTAGCGCAACGTTAGGGAAATAGGTTTCTTAACCCTGAGAAGCAATAAACATGCCATCAATGTCCACAAATATACACATTTCTGGGCACGTAATGGGCGGGCCGGCATGGTGGCACAACTCGACATTCTATCATCGTTCCTCTGACACTCAATGCGCACAACTCGTACCAAGATATATCGCGAGATAAATGTAGCTGTATCCTCTGGTGTACTCACGGACAATTGTGTGCATTGCCCCCCCCCCCCCCCCCCGCCCCTCTTGTCTACAATGATCATTGCTACTGGACGTGAATAATGAGGAATCTAGGCCTTTTCGTGTTAAAATAAGGCAATACAAATATGAAAATTTAATCTCATTTTCACTCCAACTGGGAAGTAGCTAGATACTCCCATGTGGCTCATTTTCAGCACTGACCCATATTCACTTATGTAGCCACACCCGCCGTTCCAGTCAAGGTCAAGACCGCAGGCTTGCATAAGCCAGACCATTCGCCAATTACAGCATCGGTTGACAAGACCAGCTCTGCGAACATGAACGTAGACACCAGGACTCTTGTCGAGTGCTGTATGAATCAAAGCCAATAACCCTGGGACCACTCGCTGAAAACAGCCGAACTGAAGTTCTTCATCTCCCCGACCTGCCGGGAATGAGGCTCTGCACGAACTGACCCATGTTTAATCCAGGCATGGTTTGCACACAGCCGGGGTCAAATTATATGCGTGCTGTATTGAACCCCATGTGTGCAGTTCCGCGCATACTGGCCAGAACACGAGGCGACTTTGCTACGGCTCTAGATGTGATATTGGCAAACAAATTGATGGCACTTTAGATTAACTTTACATAAAGGTTATCGGTGCGGTGTAACGACTCGGGAGCGCACGAAGTTGCCATCTATACACGTCTCATGAGGTACGAGAGGTACGTAAGGTCCATAAACACACACTCACCATGCAAAGAGTATTCACGAGTAACACAAATAGTGTCTACATGAGTGGCTTTAAGATGGACATAAATCGTTACAAGATCATGGCCGCAGTTACGCCGTAGGTGTGAGCCACACTGCTTCCATAGGTGCGTGATCCGCCATTCTTCAGATTGATTTCCGACCGATCTAGAAGAAATCCTAGACATTTTGTTTAGGCTGAGCGGCAACAGATCGGTTTTTAATTGCATATTAGTTTAAAGAACAAGGAAGCTGCCATCTGTTTCAGCAAACGAAGTGAAAGGTCAAACTAGGGCGCTATGTGTACTAGTTGATTTTGAACATGATATTGATCCATCTGCAGAAAACATAGATATTTGGTTTTCGGATGCACTTCTCCCATCTCTCGTGTTGTGCAAGTGTTCATGTTGGCTTAAATGACATGATACGTCTCGTAATATCATTGCCTTTTTTCATTTAGTCCAAGTGCCTTGTCCGTATGCCGCGCGGTTTTAGAACTTAGATAATTGTGTTTTCACCATAAAGGTACCCTTAACGTATGTTTTCATCCAAGTTAAAGGCTATGCCGCGTTATGGTCCGGGCGATTTGTAGTGGAATTACTTAACAAGAATGGGCACAAACATGATGTCACACATCACGTGTCGCACATGTTCCAAGAATAACAGCTCGTTGAAAACTTGCTTTCATGGAACCCTTCTAACCTGAAGTTCCGTTTTAATCACGAATATTTGAATTTTCTGATATAGTAGAAAAACTTTCCTACACACCTACTTCGACACGCGCTCGAGTGTGGGTCAACTTGTCCACCTCCCCTGATGGCTTCGGGAGCTGTTCCCGAAGGTGCGGCGTAGACACGTCAATTTTGCATCACTGTAGACAACGGAATAGCTGATCGTTTGGTATCAAAGATGCAGATGTTCGTTGTAAGGTCGCTGACCTACGACAGGTCAAAGTCAGGACATGGATGCAGCGAGATGGTTTCTAGGCAATCGGTTAGCCCGATACAAAAACGGAGTGTTGGACGAAGTCATACGTCTCTAACATAGTTTCAATGCAAGTGGCCTAGGGTCAGGTATAAAGGTCAGCCCAAAGCAAAAGCTACCCTGTTTCTTATTCTAGAACTTGGTATATATGGTAGTGTCTGATGCTCATTTTGGGGTTATTGACCACAGGAACCTCATTACACAAGTTCCATGGATTTCTTGCAAATCAATACAGGTCACTGACAAAAAATGACTAAGGTCAACATCGTGTTTTTTGAACTTGCTACCTAGCGTATTCCTGACGCTTATGCAACTGCTAAAACAATAGTAGCCATGTATGATTTTCGTTATCATGACATCAGACAGGTCAAACATTCATATTCAAACAAACACAAACATCCATCAGAATGTAACTAAGCGCAGGTGCGTTTTATGTCATAGGTGAAATATTTTGACAAAACATAGTTAGTGAAGTGGATATTCACAGACATCGTCTTACCACGAGCACGCCGCCTGCAACGCGTAAAATTCTCGCAAATAGAACTTACGTTGCCCTGCTGAGTCTCCAATAGTCGCCGTGGAAGCCCAGCTTAGGTAGATGGTTGAAGTTATGCTGACCACATTTTTGATGTGGCGAAACGCGTAATGGTAGGTTCGCATTCCAGGATATATTTTCATATATGGCTCGCCAACGAGGGCCCACGTGGATCTATTGAAGATGTATTACCTCCATGGCGACCTCCATGGCGACGCCACAACGAGAATGGGTAAACAGATCGCCTTGATAAAAATATCTTCTGTTGGTCACCTCTTTCCTACGCATTCATCAAATTACAGACCAAAACATGTGGGGACGGCCAAACCAACGTTTGGGGATGGGCAACTTAACCTTGCAAGGGTCAGCGGTGTCACAAAACATATAAATATATAACCATGTCTCCATACCCAAATAAAAGCAAATTTGGTAGCAATTTTACGGGATGATTGAGACGAAGATTTAGAATCACCGATGAGAACATCGTTCCTTTTTTTTGTGTAGTATTATTTTATTATTACAATATACAATGTCGTGTAGGAATTCTATTATGGCTCACGATAGCTCAGAGCCAAGCATCATCCAGTCTGCCTCAAAACCCAGGACACCTGACGACGGCTGAAGAGTTACCGGGCCGAAGCATGGTGTGCACACACCCACACCGGACGGGGACGATAGTTTGAAATATTGTTCCATCCGAAAAAGTCCTCTTAAAATCCAGCCCTTTGTACAATTCATTGCACGGCCTATAGAATAGTCAAATAATTCAGAAACCCTGTCCCAGGCGAGGGCGTACCTTAATGTTTCAGCTGCAATTCACATAAAACATGTCATTATTGAACGCCGTGGATACGTCGTGTTATCCAAATGCATCATTATCTCGTGAAAAATAACCATCACTTGCCATAGGTGACTTACTTCAAGGTCACCACTACGTGAAGGGTGATGCAGTTAATTTAAACAACCCACAGACTCATAACAATGTGGACATCATTACACATCCAACTGAGCAGTCACTTCGAATGAGATCCT